GCCAATAGTGAAGCATCCTGGGACCATCCACGTGTTGCTTTTCATTCAGCGGAATGCCTCTCTCACAATTCGGCCCAAAAGCACTGCCACGAATAAAGAATGGCATCAAAGCGTCCTGCAAGAGGAGCTCTCCCAACAACCTGGGGATGATCCGTGCATTTCCCAGCATGATGGATGACCATGCCACAAGGGAAGAGTGAAATGAAATGAAATGTGGCTCGGATATCGTTACATTGAAATTTTGGATCCTAGCCATGCAACTCCCCAGACCGTAATCCCATAGAGAACCTGTGGCCAGTCCTCAAGATGTGTGGCCGAGCAGAAGTGATCAACGCCGAGCGCTGACAGAGCAAGAGTGGATCGCCCAGACGCCGATATCCAGCGTGCCAGAGCGAACTGCAGAGGTTAAGAAGACAGGTCTACACTCTACATATTGAAATATAGTAAATGTTATAGGCCAATAAAAGCCTTTAAAGCTTATGAAATGCTTTTCATTGTTTTCCAGTAGAAACATGTGAAAAGAATTCTCTACAAATACTGAAGCAGCAAGCTTTGCGAAATACAAAATTTATGTCACTGTCACGACTGAATTTAACAGATAAAGATATTGCGACAAGCCACACAATTCAACCCGTCCAAACACTCTCAAAAATACAGGTTTTTCTCTGCTTCTGTTGTTCCATGAAGAAACTTTAGCATCCATGGATCCTTTCCATTGCACAGAAGGTCCTTATAGTGGGGAAAGGTTCACACTAAGAAAACATGGCTAAGAACCGTTCACTGAAAGGGCATCGGGGAACCGAAAATGGTTCTTCTATCGCAGCACTGTGAAAACCCCACTCCAAAGCACCACACACTGATCGGGATGTAAAGAACTGGAATAAGACCGCTGCACATTTTGTCATAGACTTTGTCAGGAAACCGTATATGAAAGTGCCATTGAACCTGGTGTGAGTGACATTCGGTGAACAGGAGAGGCTCATTATATCACGAGAAACACTGAGCCTTTGCTAAAGTCAGCAGTCCTGTCTGGAACGAAGCGTACTGTGTGTGAGATGGCAGGAGCATTATGCAAATCTATCATTGCGAGAACTAGTTCAAGTAATGAGTCCTGATGCTCTTTTCACAGCTCAATCACAGTTTGACCCATTTCTTTATTTTAAGACACTCTCAGTCTGTTACTCGAATCATCTTTGGCCTCTTATCAGTAGCAGGTTCATTTCAATCGTAGAATGCCCTCATTTTCTGAGCTGAACGGTTCTGATGTAACCCAGTTCACAATCCCACCACATCATCATCAGTCCTGTCTCCATTATTTGACAGGAGGACTGCATGAGGTCAAGACAACACCGTCAACTTTATCAGGTGACACACTAAACGCAGTTTAAATTTCAGTGTGCTACCTTCTATGGCAGGTATAAAGTATGCAAATACTTGTCCATTTATCTTGAATCTCCTATACACGAGCAGTGCATGAAACACACAGCTGTATGAACACTTTTAACATTTAACATCATTAGGACTGAGAGGGAAAACAAAGCAAATAGTCACTTGTAATAGTCATACAATACTTCCTTAAATCAGAAGTCTTAGTGGACAGAAGACACTGATGATCTCAACAGACTAAAATTAGTTTTTCTATCACTAAATATCGATGTACTGTAGGTTTAGAGGTGTGTTGAATTTTAGGATTTAAGATGTCCTGCACTCAGTGCCTTAATCCTGCATATATTGGATATAGATATTTTGCAGGGGTGACTGTATAGTTGACTGTTGTGATTGTGAATATGTTTTACGGCTTCAGTCACTGTTCCCTGGTCAGTTCCTGGACGTTCAGCTCAATAATGCGTGTCATGTGACTTTGACAGGCACATGCTCGGTCTTCTCTTCTGTAAAATCTCAGCTTTTTAAAAAGGCAGTTGCTAACAAGTAGATAAATGGCACTAGAGAGGTTGTTGGCATTAACGCCATCACACCGAACAGGAGAATGAAGTCTCAGATCCTCAGTGTTGGGGATAACGTTGTCTCAGTTATGCTCTGCTCAGTTGTTCCTGTGGTGTCTGTATGAGATCTCATTAGTTGCTCTGGTGTCTGATTAGTTAATCTTGGTCCAGCTGTTCCTGTTTAGTGTCCTCATTTATATGTGTATTTATACTCCCTGTTCTGTCGGTTATTGTTTGTGTTAACGTGGTGGTGTGCCATTAGATTAAAGACTCTGTATCTTCTTCATCGTGCGTTTTCAAAGCCACCATAACAAACGCATTGCAAGTAATGTGAGTTACTTTATCAGATTACTTAGTAAAGTAACACATTACCTTTAAATTTACAACAAAATATGCAAGTTACTTTTTCAAAAGTGACTTTTCCCAGCTGTCCCCATGTTGGGAGAATCGTGAGTGCAGAGGTGTGTGTGTGTGAAAACATGATGAGTATTGTAGACTAAATGTGAACATCCGTTTACTCATCTCAATGGCACAAAAACACATTCAGTGTTCCTCAAAATGAAGTGAAATGCAAACTCAGAATATTACGCAAACCTGCAATTATTTAATAGTTTAAATTACACAAATATACTTTATGTATTTAATCTCACTTTATTAACCAATGTCTTCGCTTCAGTGATCCAATGCAGCCATACAAATAAGCAAAAATCACTTTAGATAAACAACCCCAACTTCTTCTGTGATCCAGAATGGCAGAGCAACCGAAAGGTTTGTTTAAGCGGCGCCCTCTACTGTACAGACGTGAACTCGCATTTCCCTTAGCCTGAGGCTTAATCATTTCACTTTTGGTGTGAAAGGGGACTTCTGCTTTAGTTTTTAGTTTTAGTTTTACTTTACTTAGTATTTAGACTTCAAGCTGTGTTCGTTGTTGTTTAGGGAACCAGGGTGATGCTAACTTTCGGTTTGGCCTACAAACACACCATCACTGCAGCACTCTATTCATCATAGTCTGATGAATCATGTTAAAGGTGCAATGTGTAACATTTTTGAGTATTAACAGAAATGCAATATGACATCCATAACTTACTTAATAAACCGTAATGTTTTTATTACCTTAGAATGAGGCATTTATATCTACATAACCGCGGGCACCCCCTTCTATGAAGGTCGCCATATTGTGACGTCATGTTTCTACAGTAGCCGAACGCGAACACACAGCGCTACAGAGCGCGTTTCGTCACTACCTTGAAAGAGAAGCAGCAGAAAGCTAGAAGAAGCTAGCCATAGACACCGTGAGGAGTGACTTTTCCCTTGTCAGTGGTGTAAATATGTAGTTGGATTGTTTCATGTAACTTAGTTCTTCTCCCTCGCTGTGTTATGGCTTTGCTATGTGGGGATAAATGTGCTGGTAATGTTCGTGAGACAGCTGATTAGCACTATTGACCGTAAAACAGTAACGTTACAGGAATCAGCAACCCGTCGATCTTGGAAGCATTTGAAGTCGATCGAGTTTTCAAAATCAGAGAAAAAAAGCCTATTGTGTGTGTAGTAAGTGTGTCTAGGGATGCGGAGGCGCGCGCGCTGTTACAATCACGTCATTTCTGCCGCGCGCACCTTTGGGCTCATGCGGACGCGTCGAGTTTAAACAAGGCTTTACGCCAGCTCAGCCACAGTAACAGCTCATATTAGCCAGCTAAACTTTTACTACCCTGTTAGAAAACATATATAGTTGCATAGTTTCATGTGGTTCTTCTCCCTCGCTGTATTATGGGTTTGCTATGTGGGGAGAATGTGCTGGTTACGTTCGTGAGACAATCAGCTGATTACTATTATTATATTATGTATTAAGACCCTTGATCCTCACCTGAAACTTTATCCATGATGTGGTTTATAATGGACTGTGGTACAGAAACTTGGTTTACTCTGGCTATTCTCTGCTGTCTCAGACGACGATGTTTTTCCCGTTTGAGCCACCGTAGCTTCTTCGAAAGGGAGGGGTGAGCAGTGGGCTGAGCCCTTAGTGTAAACTCGCAACCGAACCGCTAGATGCCGCTAAAAGTCACACACTGCACCTTTAAAAATGTTCTTCTTTGAAATAAAATACTTCTCTAACTATGTGTATGTACTGTATTTGGCTGGAGTGAGAAAGGGCCGTCTTTAGTTAATGCAGTTTGGGTGGATCAACAATAGGTGGACCAGTAGGGCTGCACAATTAATCAAATTTATAATTGCGATTAAAATTACGGATGCCACAATTATGTACTCGTTTAAAGGCGCAACACAAAAAAGTTCACTTACATTATTCTGTGTGCTTAAGATGTGTTTTTTTCTTTCTACAGCTTATCTTAAGGGTTTCCCCCTTTTAATTTTAGTTTTACTATAACATTATAATACCATGCATATATTTACTTTGGTTTGGTGTCTTTAAATATTTATATATATATATTTGACACTTGAGGCTTAATGCAATAGAAAAGCAAAAAAAAGTTTTTCAGGAAGAGTGTTTTCAGCTTGTTTATAACAATAAGGCACGCAGTCGCTTCAAACAATGGCATAAAGCTATTCAAAACATCATTCGATTTAAATTGTGATAATCGTAATTAATAATCGCAATTACATTTCAAGGGAATAATCGACAATTATGATTTTGGTCATAATCGTGCAGCCCTCATGATTCTGGGACTGCTCCTTAGTGAGCTTTCCAGAGCCCCTCACACCAAACTCATAAAGATGAGCCTCTCCTCAGGAAACTGGAGATCATCATCATGGTAAGACTTCCTTCCTCTGGGTCCAGCTTCAGTCACTCTCCAGGTCCACCAGCGCCGGTCTCACACCAGCTCACGGGACGCATTCCCCCAACCGGAGAGCCTCTGCCAGGGCTCGCCAAGACCGTCTCTTCAAGGACGTCCAAAATATTACAATATTACGAGTATTGTATTGACAGTCATAGCACTGTAGCACTGGATTACAGTGAAACTACAGATCGGAGCTCTTCACTGAGAATCGAAATTAGGACAGCCGACACTAGATGAGACACAGATTTCCCTAATTGGATTTTACGTCGAGGGAAATCTGAAATCATGAGCCAGATGAGTCCTGCTTCAGAGGGGAACTCTTCCCTCTCAGCGCTGTGTCCCAAACTCACCCGAGCGAGCTTCCTCTATCCAGGAGCGGGGCCGTGCGGCAGCGCCAGGACTGCAGGGACCCGACCCGCACCGGGCCCGAAGCCCCTCGTCCTCCCCCCGCCTCCCGCGGTCCCCGTGGTGAGCCTCAGCAAGCCTCGGGCGCCGCACACCAGCTGGGTGCACAGCGCCAAACAGAAAGAGGAAGCCTGTGCTCGGAGCAGAGCGAGCGAGAGGTCCTTTCTGTGCGCCGTCGCCGAGCGCTCCTCCAAGCTGTATGGGAACCGACACACACCTGTCCTGCAGCACAGCTCCTCCAGGGACGCACCTGACGCCGGTGTGACATCACGTCCTGTCCAGGACGCACCTGACGCGGGTATGACGTCACTTCCTGTCCAGGACGGCGCTGAGACTTCGCCAGTGCTGGCAGAAACACAGATCATCATGGTGCCGTCGGCCAGACTCAGACCTGCCGTTCCTGTCAAGGTACATGCGCTTTCCACTAATAATGCTTCTCTGTCTTTAATTCACACTGGACATGTGTGCACATCTGATGGATTTACTTATATGTGGTATTATAGGTATATATTTGCATGTGTTCATCACAGCACTGTTTTAGACTGATTTGAAGAGCGCTCTTTGGGATTTGAGTGTTGTTTGTCCCTCCACCCAGATGTGCTGATTACAGCTGATATCTGAAGCACATCTTTGCCATTCCTCACATTAAATGGACTAGAACCAATTTTCAACTTCCTCTTTTACTTTTACAAGTTTTGAGGATTGTACAATGGCCCTAAAACATATCTGGACATGTACTGTAGTTCATACTTAAAATGAGTGAATGTATTTGTATGGAGGAAATATGAAAGCAACTGTTATTTATTGTGAAAGCACACTGTAAGCAAAGTTTCTGACAAAAAAAAGTAAAAGTTTGTTCATTTTGAAGTCTTGCGGTCACTTTGCTGGGTGAACTTGCCTTCATTTTCTATTGTTATGACATCAAGTGTGATTTAGGGTCAACACTTTTGGGGGCAGTGCAATCTTCCTGTCGAATTTCACTTCCTTAAATATGACTGATTTAATGAAAATGGATTTAACAACATTGCATCAGGTTTCTCATTCAAACATGATTGTATCGTGTGAAACTGACTTGAAACAGATACTCTTTGGGTTAACTCGATGTTTTCATGTTGAAAGAGAACTGGATTTCCACTTGCCATCATGCTTTGTATCGGGCTGGTCAGGGAGAGCGATGCTGCGTCCCAAACCTCTGAGAAGGTACATTTTAATTTACTTCGCGACAGGTAAAAAGAGTGCTCTACCTGTATATAGTACGAATATGTATGAAATTCGGGTACTACATCTTCCATGTTGTTGCTGCCAGAATCTCGCCCGAAGCCGAACCATCCCGGGACTTTTCGCATATTTTTTTTATGTATATGTATGTATTCGGACATACTACTCTGTTGGCGCTCTGTTTTTTACATATTATATTAGTAGGGACGTATTCAATTTCAGACTAAGTGTTGACAGTGTTATTTTATGCATTTTTGGCAAGATGTGAAAATGGGGAGAACCTCTTAACCGTCTCCAGAGCGTCGGCGCACTGAAGCGTTTTTTTATTTATTTAGTTCAAATATACTATCAGATTTAATGTTATACCTTGACAAACTATACATCATTAAAAAGATATAAGACTCAAGATTCAGTATTTGACCACTATTGTATTCTGAGAAACTTATAGTGACAGTTATGTCTTAATTTGTGTCAGGAGTTATGAAATTAAAAAATGAGTCGTTACCTTTAATATGAATTATGAGCCTCAGCCGGTCTCATTCAGAAAAAAACTCCCGTGCGATCGTCATGACAGCGCTTGACAAAACAACGTCCCTCAGGGCTTTTAGCTCAAACATGTGCAGATTTGGAGAAATATTGATAGATTCTCATAGCTTTACATTAGACTTCTATAGACAGGAATAATATTTATTGAATTTATACCCAAATGCGTCGATGTAATCATTTTGAGCGCTGTATACTCTGTACTGTGTTATCAATTCATCCTGAAAGTGAGGGCGCTGTTTGAACAGAAGTCCATAATATATGGATCACATGAAGAAGAGCCATAATCATGTGACATTCAGGAAGTCCTGCCACAACAAAGCTATCCGAGATCGCTGTAAAGTGCAGATAAAGATGTTTTGAAGACAATAAACATGATTGCAATGATATTTGATTTACCTGTGTTCTTCGAGTCATGTCAGGTATTTTCATAATAATTGATTATATGTATAATGTAATGCTAATCGAGATAGACTTTCAAATTGTGCAGAATACAATAAAATAATATATTTTCTATCTGATTTTTTTATCTGAAGCCAAATCAGATTACAGAAAGTTATTTAAAACACTCGACTTGCGCTATAAAGTAAGTTTGGAGAACAAACATAGTTTTATTCTCATAAATTGTCGTGTATTGATGGTGTGCTAAGCTAACATGCTAGCTAGTACTGAGCACCTGCTACCTTACTTCGGTGTAATTTTTATGATTTTTTTCTAAATAAGAATGCTTACTGAAATGTTTCGTTTTTCAAAAAGGGCATTTGATACAGTTTCACTGTGAAGTGAGAACTTTTATAAAATAAATGAGGGATTGAAACAGTGTGAATTGCTAGTCGTTAGTGATTATAATGCAGACAAAAGAAAAGCATATTTAGAGCAATAAACTGGCTGGAGAGGTGTGAATATGTGCAGGGGAGACTGAGACTGAATGGGGCTCGTTTTTGCATCACAAAACAATAGAGGCAATAGACTGAATAGATGCTTATAAGAAAACAATAAACACCAGTCTAATCAAAATAAAGTCATATGACATGATCTTGAAAAACATTGAACTAAATACAGAGTTTTAGACTTATCATCTTCAAATTTTAAATATAACATGGCCAGACATGTGGCTTTAGCTGCAGTGCATTTCTAGATTGCTACAATGCCAACTTCAATTTTATTTTCATGAAGATGTTTCATAAAAATAAATGTATAATAACTTTACAAAACTTTGAAGCTATTTATAACTATTTTTTTCATTATGATAATAATTAATTCTACATTTACAATAAACTTCCAGGTGTCAGCTTTCAAATGAGATCTTACTTGTGCTTTTAGTACAAAGGGTTCATGAACTGTATCTGTTTCAGTTTGGGAATGCCATATCTGGGGATTTTTCAAAAATGGGCTTGAAGCTTAACAGGTTAATCTATTGCTTTGGGATTTAAAAGAGCTTGTGTTATGTTGGTGTTTCTGGGGGTTTAGCATGTGGTGAAGTGTTGGATGTGTTTGGGTCGAGGAGGACCAGCTAACAAGAGTTCAAGTTGCATAAAAATGCAACTCTATGGGAATGCCATGGATTAACCAGTACCATCCTCTGGTTACCAACACCAATCATGTGAATAGAAAAGTATTTTTGGCTGAACTTTATTCAATAGTGGACAGTGGTTTCACATGATGGAAACATGTAGGATGAACTAAACTGAATTCAACTTCAACTTAGACGAATCCAGTAACTTGATTCAAGAAACTTTATGCTATCTCCAAGAGATAACATGTTTTCATCATGTGGAACCATCATGCTTTTCATCAGCCAAAGAGGTTTTGTTGAGTGCATGATGTGCTTGTGCTTGGAGGAGGCTTTCTTAGTAAAGTAACGCAAACATCACAACAAAATGAAGCAGCACAGACTACATCAAAAGATAAATCAATTACCATACTGGAAAAATCTAGAGGTAAACAAAGACCTGGTGGTCAGTCAGATACAGATCATTACTAAATCAATTTTGCAGATAGTTTTATCTTAAGCAACAGACACCTGAATGTCATGATTAGTTCATGTGTGTTTGACTGAGTTTGGAGGCAAGCATTGCAGGACAGTGTTCATGCTGGTTGAAAGTCTTCACATCCTGATAGCAATCACTAGTTAAGTGGTCTAAAGTTATTTATATATGTGTGTTTATAACACGGCTTGGTTGAATTCTAATGCAGAAGTCTGCTATTTCCTGATAACAGACGCTGCTAAGTATAACACACCGTTGCCATGAAAAACAGAGCGTTGCCATGGACGCAGTTCTGTTCACTCTGGAGGGTAAACTACTTTAAATCAATATTTTGTTTCAAATTTTTTTTACGCCGACTTTTACCTGCAGTAAAAAGGTCCGGAAAAATGACCTCTGGTGATACTGATCCTGTGCGATTAGACCCGCTGTAAATATGCACGTAAATATTTTGTCATTTCCTGTTTAAAAGTAGTTTCCCGCAGTTTTGCAAGTATGGAGACGCTTGAAAGCAGTCAGTTGTGTTCTAGACACTGGGACGAGTCTCTGGCAAAACTCAAGTGTTTTACACACACCATTCAGATCAGAGACAAGATCGAAAGCACTTGTTAGAGGCACGAAACATCTTTTAGCGATAGTGCCTATTACCAACACAATCCGATCTGAAGGTAATACATCGTTCGACCGGACATAACTTTTATAAATATAGGTTATGTGTGTTTGCACACGTGATATCATGATATTCCTGGAGGAAGCAGCGTAATACACACTTGACGACAGGAGGGACGGCGGTGTGTAAATCGAGTTACTCTCCCGCTTCTGCTGGTTTTACTGAGATCTTATCCCGTGCGAATTGGCCATTAATATCACAGACGTCCTGTGGTAAAATTACATCACTCCCTCTACCCTTGTAAAGCTAATCCCGTCCGGATAGGGCTTTAGACAGACGTCAGTCACCGAGCGCCACAAACAGCAGTCGCCTTTTACAGTTCCTCCTGAACCAAAACAGCCAGCTTATGCTGCGTTCCCCCCCTAATACTGTACTCTGGAGAGATGCAAACCTGTGACGTTACACTCGAGCGGTTCGAGACTCGAATTTATGTGTTTCAATGGCAACATTATCATCGCCGAAATGAATCTGCAGCAGTCAGGTGGTCCAGGTCAGCACTCTGTAAGTTGGTTATGTTCATTATTATTGTAATGTTATGTGCTTTGAGACATTTAACGGCGTCTCTCGTGACTCTAGTGTGTGTGTTCATGTGTTTGGAGGCGCTCTGGAGACGCTCTGAAGGAAGGGTGGGATCTCATGCTTTCAAAGCTAGCTCGCTATTGCTAGCCGCTCAGAAAATTGCCTACCCTACCTTTAATACTGAGTAATTTAAATTTCTGTTAAAATAGGCAGTCATTTTGTGTATATATTCCTTTTTCCACTAATGAAAAAGAAACTTAAAGCACAAGCTTTGAACGTGGCCCTGAACATTGGGCCTTTCTAACAATAAGTGTGTATTTGAACCTTTTACACTCACATTTAATTATTAAGCAGATGCTTTTATCCAGAGTGACTTACAAAAGTGGATCATTGCAAGCAATTTATTAATAGGAACCAACCAACAGTGATTTGCAGTACATACACAGCACCAAGTTTCATGTGTAGCTATAGTA